TCATTCCCTGCATGTTTCAGCACTTCCTTTGCTGTCCTCACACTCTCCATTGGAATATTTTTGTTTAGAGGAAAGGACCATGCTACCTGCCTCCTTATCAGCCTCTCCTGGATGAATTAGCTGAGCTTTCAATGACTCTGTCTGCTGTCTGTGACGCAGATGAAGAGTGACAATGTGCTGTGTTTCGGAGAGGGCCAACGCTGCACCCACAGCAACCTTTTACAGAAGGTATACCCAGATTCTCACAAGGCATGTTTATGTGAACTGAGAAATTGTCCTCCTGCCAAAAATCACCCCTGGAAGTGCTCAAGGACAGGTTGGATGTGGCTCTGAGAAATCTGGTCTAGTGGAAGGTGTCCTGCCCATGGCAGAGGTGTTGGAATGAGATCATCTTTAAGGTCATTCCCAAATCCAATCATTACAGGATATTCTGGGCATCTGAACCCTTGGATGTGCAGAAAGCAAACCTTGATCACCACCAGCCCTTGATCATGCAACTCAACACTGAAATCAGAGCAGGAGATGTGTGAAGGTGGAAGCAAAGATGGCACAGGGCTGCCTCACTCTCTGTGCTCCTTGGTTGTTGTGTACACAGCCGCTTCTCAATCAGCCTGGTCATGATCTCACCTATTGTGTGGGTAAGGCCTCCAAAATAGGACCCTGTGATCAAAATGTCCGGAAACATGAGGTCATGACATCAAAAGGCCAGTTCTATGATGAAAGTATGGCTTTCAGGTGCCGCTGGCTTCAAAGCTCAGCCCTAAAACAAAGGAGAAATCTATATTTGGGGACATTCATGCAAAGCATTACCATTTGTTGTTCATCAGAGGTGCTAACGCAGCTAGAGATTACCAAAAACAAACAAAAAACCAAAAAAACTCAAAGGGACAAGAAGAAAAAGGGAAAGAAAGTTATCCAGGTCATGAATGTAATGTTCTGCAGGAAAAAAAAAAAGCTTTTTCTTTTTTTTTTTTTCCACAGAGATTAGCTAAATCTTTAAACAGGGATGTCATTGCTGAACTCTGTGATCACCTGGCCAGAACTGCAGGGACTCACAGTGGTAGTGAGTGGCTGACTTTCCCGGGAAAGTTTTTTGTCATCCTCATATTGCTTGCTTTTTTTACACCACATCTGTGCTTGCTTCGTCATTCTGCCATCTGCTGTAACAAAATACAGACAAAGCATTTCAGAGAACAACCCCTCCACACTTTAAAATGCTCCAAGCTGGAGCACAACCTTTTACTTCTCACAAGCTGTAGTGCTTATTATCTGATCCTGCTCCTCCTCCTCTTCCTCCTCCTCCTGCCCCACATCCACGATGAACTACACAAATTTAGCAAGCATGGAGAGCACAGAATCCCATTGCTTTTGCCACAATGTTTCTATTAAATGAAACAAATGTTCCTGCGCTTGACTTCACTGCGCAAATGCATTCGCTGAGAGGTCAGAGATAGCAGGTCGTTATAATGCAATTTTTAATTTTGAAACTCCTGATCAGGCTCATTTCCTGTTTGGTATTGTCTGCAGATATACAATGCAAAAGCCTTGGGTTACTAAAGAATTGAAATAACAGAGTATGAGCAGAGTGGTTTTGAGCACACACTCTGTAAAGTCCAGTCAAAGTTTCTTCCTGGTGCAGCCGCACAAATCTCTTGGTAGCAGTAAACTCCCTGCACAGACTTCATTCCTGAACACATGTTCAAAGGTGATAAAATAAATGCAGATGGTTTTCCAAAACCTCAGTGGAGCATTTTTTGCTGTTACTAAATGGACTGGAAAAAACTAGGGGGAAAAAGCGGAGAAAATACAGTTTGACACAGACAGGCAATTTCAGAATAGCATTTGGTCATTTGGGAGAAAATCTAAATAAAATGTGTGTTTATAATGATCTATTGGCAAAACAATATTGACAGAGCATCTGAGCTGCCTAATGGAAGTGATTTTTAGAATGCTTAAATTAAACTGGCGTTGAGAACTGAATATTTTGTTTAATTACTCAACACAAACAAAAAAAAAAGAGTTGGGTAGGAATTTTGAATTCATTGTGCCATGACCAAAGTCGACAATAAAACCATCCCTGGCTACAGTGAAAAGAGAATTAGACCTTAACAAATTTATTACAGGCTTTGTTTACAAACTCATTACAAAATAATACAGCATCTTATGGGTACACAGGATTTACAGGAACGTGTTACTGATGTGCGAGATTGCTTTGCTCTCTGGTTGAGATCTGCAGGTTTTTCTTCGCTTGGGGCCTGATCCAGCTTCCACCAGAGAAGGTGAGATTTTTTTTTGTTTTTTCCCCCACTGACTTTAGTGGAAGCTGGATCAGATCCAGGGGGTAACACTTCCGCTCATTGTTTTCCTGGGGTGGGAAAGAGGCAGCCGGTCTAATAACCGTACACACCAGGCTCCGTTCTCATCTCATGTGTTTCAGATGACAGGCATATTTACTCTGAGACATTTTTGCTGGCTGCTTGTAAAATAATTGTTAAAGTCAAAAGTCAAAGACCAGTTCCCGTTACTGGATTTACAGTGGAAAATGACAAATGGCTTTCTTTGAACCTTTAAAGAATGCACCTCCCTTGATTTTCAGTGAGCAGAAATAAAGGCATCAGAATCAACTCCGATGTTGTCTACATTGTTACAAAGCTACATTTTATTCCCGTCTTCAACAGATTTTCTCTGGATTTACAGTAACAAAATCCGGAGAAATGGATTTATGTAAACAAAAGTGGCATCCACACTGCAAGAACAAGGTAGTTTCTAATTAATGGGATTCCATCAAGCTAAATTGGTCTTACCTTCTCTTCTTGCATGGAGATAGACCTATGTGGCACAGTGACACAAAGAGATCTCTAAAGTTAGTGATCCATAACTATATCAGCTCTCAGTTGCACCCAGCATCTGCAAATGATCTTTATTTGGGAACTCAGGGTGTGAAATCAAGCTTTTAATTTACAAAACAATCCAGTGTGGCAGAAAAATATGCTCAAAAATATGCTTATTCTCCCAAGCTAAAATGGTTAGTTAAACTTTCCTAAAGTAGCAAATGCTCTGTGGGGTTGGGTTTTTTTCTTTTTGAAATTTTTGCCAAGAAATGAGAAATATTATAATCAGATCTACCAGATACTGAGTTCCTTGTTATATTACATCCTCTCATTTTAATGACTGCCTTGGTATTGAACCTCTGAGGTTGCTTGAACCAAATTGATTGAACCAAAGCTAGAATTTAGTGCTGGAGGTGATGATATTTCCTGAGAGGGTAAATACCCTGGCCTTATGCTGAAAATTAAGATGGTTCTCAAAAGCTTTGGTTCTGACTTTCCCTGAAGAAAATACCCACGTGCTCCAACCTGGCTTTCCAAGACAGGACTGTTCCAGTGCTTGGCCTCAAGGCAACCTGTCCAGCTCCCTGGTGGTTTTATGGTGTGCAGCACTCTCTGTAAGGGATTAGGGAAGACCCCACAGTTTGCTGCCTTTCATGGCCTGTTGCAGATTTGAAGCTGGTTTTCCAGGAGTGAAAGCTGTATGAGCAAAGGCATCCTGCAACCTCGTGTTTGAGGGCTCTGATCTCGTTTCCATTTGCGATGCTGAACATGCTACGGCAGCGCAAGCTGTAGCTGTAAAACCCTCAGAAAAAACATGGGGTAAAACTTTCTGAATAACTGGTATTTCCCAGCCCTGGCTGTGAGTTGGATCTATCTGGACACAGATAATGTGCAGCCCAATCTGAATTCTGTTCCTAGCCATGAGCTTTCGTTTACTTCCTGGGACTGGGATCCCATCCAGGGCATTGTACAGCTAATGTCTAATGGGACATCTCTTCAAGAAGTGTCATTATCCCAGTGGAGCTATATGACAGTCCACAGAAGAGTCTGAGGTAAATACATGCTAGCACATTTATCTCTCCTAAGCAACAACTCATGTTTAATTGGGGAACTTCAGTATGACTGCAGACTTCATGTATTTTAGCCACCATCCATTTCATGTTCCTGTGAAAGGTACCAGGCTTCTCGAGCAGTTCAACACATTTTCCCCCCCGTGAAAGATGGAGAACGGATTGCTGAGAAGGAAACCTTCGTATGGGCATGTGGCTTTGATATCCATGTCAGGATATCATATCTTTCTTTACCATGATTTGCAAGCCAAGGGCTCTTTTAAGGTTAAGACACCACCAGCTTTGTTTCTAATTTAAAAACTCAGACAGAGAGGAATGATCCAACAATGCAAGCAGAAGATAATTGATTCATGTGAGGAGGAAGAGGCTGATCACAACAAACCATCTTTTATGTATTATAGTAATGATCCATTTAGACCAGTTCTTAGCTTCACCAAGTTTCAGATACAAATATTTCAGATTTTTTCATATTTTTTCAATGATGCACTGGCCGCGTTAGAAACAGTTGCAAAACAAATGTGCTTCCAAAACACAAATGGATGTTCCTGGATTACTAGCAGCCATTCTGGATTGCTAACAGAGGACAAATGGTCATTTCACCGGCAAAACTGGCGTAATACACAGAAACTTTATTTTAGGGCTACCTGATGCCTGATAATTTGACATCATCTGCAGGCTACAACACATATTTTGGTCCTATTTTCTTTTTTTTTTTTTGGTGGTGAGGAGTCAACACTGCAGATCCAATTAAATATGAATGTATAGAGCAGGGAATATAAATATGTACACAACTCTTGGAATTGATCTGATTTTTAACAAGTTTACTAAATGACAGTCACTGGTTTGACAATACTGAATGAAAAATACTGATTTTACAGATTTTACAGGAAAGTTATGGTATGCTGCTGACAAGCAGTGTCACAAACAGTCTAAAAAAACCCCGGAGTTTGCCACGGCAGAGGCACACACCCTTTGCTCTTGTTTATTGAGAGAGAAAGCTTATATACTGTAGATTTGCTGAAGTTTAATAAATAAGGTCAACTTATAATATATATAAAACAATATAAACATTTATATGCTACATGCATATCATATAATTTAAAGTAATAATTTATATAGCAAAGAGATGCAGATCTATGTTCTTCCTATTTTCCTGGACAAGGCGCACACGCAGGAGGTGTCTATCCTTATCCACCTCCAGCCCACCAGTTTGTTGTTTTCTGAAGTCAGTGCTCTGACATAAGTTTGGGATGTCTTGCATTGGGAGTTCCAGTGCTTGTCATCGATGCCGCGGCAGCCGTTTTTTACCGGTTTGGCCTCTTTACACCTCGTTTCGTAAAAGTATTGCTTAACCGGAGAGTTGCCCGTTTTGATTTCTCCCAGAACAGTCACCTGGTGTCCCCTGATGTCGATGGCAGAGGATTTGTCCGTGACCCACAAACTTTCACTGTCACAAACGGAGTATTCCCCCCGGTGGCCCCTGTGCTCCGCGTACCTTTTCCGCCGGGAGGTTCTGTTCACCACCACGGAATTCCCGATGTAATCCTCCATGAGGTACAGTGGCGGTGGCTCCAGCGGCGTGTTGTCACTCAGGAGGACTCGGGGGGAGTTGTAGCGTCTCTGCTGCCTCAAGAGATCTGTATCCACTGAGATAACTGGCTGGAAGTCTGATTTCACATTTTCCTCTCCGTCCATGTCTTGCTGAGTGTCTGTTTTCTGCACCGTGTTTTGATAGTTTTCCTTAATGTCTACCATCTGTTTAGAAAGCTTGTTTTTTAAAATGTCTGCCTGAATGAGTTTAATAATAAGAGAATTTATTGAATCTTCTGGCAAACTCCTTTGATCCATGTTGGAAGACTGGATGCCACGAAGGTAAGCGAGAAATATCACATAAAACAAGATGGACATCACCTTGTTCACCTGTAAGATCTGCAAAGAAACAGAGAGTCAATGTTAAAACAGTCCAAGAGGGAGGTTTGCTAGAGGCTATAAACATGAAAATTGGGATGTTTTTTAGTAACATCTAATGTCTTTAAAGATACATATATAGAGGCATAGAAATAGGCTGTGTGTTTCTTTGAAGATTCTATTTGTTATACTTCATAATGAGTGCAACTCTTCTAATTTTTTTTCAATATTTCATCTATACTTTAGGCCTTGCTTTTCCCCTTTTCCATGCATAGTGGCATATGTATCAGTTAAGCCCTTTCTCTGCAGAGGTAGGTGGTTCTTGGGATAGTATGGCCAGGGCTTGGCAGCAGAGAGAGACCAAGTTACTTCCACAGAGTTTATTCCACAGAGAAATTTAGTTTCAGAATTGCAGGACAGGCAGAATAGAAAACTGTCTTACTGTGTACAATGAAAAAGTTCTGACTTTGCTAACTGTTGTCAGGTTTTGTGTGCTGAGATCTCTCAGACCCACCTAGTTCATATTTATCAAGTGGCTTCTGTTTAATGTTACCGTAAGAAGGAAATAAATCCTGTGTTTCAATAGTACTTTTGGTTTTTTTCTCTTTCTGCTAAGGGAAAGGGTTCTTGAAGGAAAATGATGCAGCCAAATCAGAAAGTGGTTATTAGGCATCTATAATACAAGTGTGGAATTCAGATGGACACACTGACCATTTTTTGAGTGTTGTTTGCAAGATTGGGGACTTCTTTTTCGTGATTTCTAAAGAAGTTGCTTTATTGTATTTATATAAGGTGAAATATAATTGACATCAATTAGAAATATTCAAGGACAGATTGAGGACATCCCTCTTCCTACCATCTCCTAAAATGCAAAAATCTTGTTCAAAGATTCCGTATTTTGAAAACCATTCCTATAAATGTGCTGCTTCATGGTACTTAGCCATGCACTCCTCTATATGGTTTCCTGTGGTCTCCTACCAATTCAACTTTCTGTCCATATTCTAGAAGCTCATTTGTCACTTCTTTTTAAGCCTTTGTGTCATCTTGTTTGTGTAGTTGAGAGCCAGGAGCTCTCAGCTCCTGGGAGGTGGTTTTTCTCCTTGTATATTTGGACACCTGTATATTTGGTATTTGCATTAATATTTAAACTAAATCAATTTTCAATGTAAAATCCTAAGCCACAGATGTGAACCATTCACTTCAGAGCACACCTGTTTATAAATTTGCTGCACAAGTAGTGGATTGAAGGAGAAAACACAAAACTCATCTTAGACCATCCTCAGAGTCTGTGATAAACCCTGACTGTAGTACTGCTTCAAGTGACTCAGGAAAGCCTTGAATTTGATTTTCCTGCTCTTCAAACACATCCACCATGTGTCAGAGACCTCTGGCACTCTGGGATGAAGGCACAGAGTCATAGACCATGGGACATATGGAGTTGGGAGGATCCTGAGGACATCATCCTGGCCAATCTCACTGCTCACAGGAGTGTCAGCCAGAGCAGCTTGCAGAGAGGTGTGCCTACTGAGGTTTGGAATATCTCCATGGATGGAGACTCCACAACCCTCTAGACAACCCATTCCAGTGTTTCACCACCCTTAAACTTAAAAAAAAGTACATTTCATCTGTCAGCGTGTTTCCTATATCTAAATTTTTTTCCCATTGCCTCCTGTCCTTTCATGGACACACCTAAGTAGACCATGGCTCCATCTTTATTAATACCTCCTGTGAGGTGTTTTTACACTTCAGTAAAATCCCCCTGGGACTTCTCTTCTGCAGCATGAACAGCCCTAGCTCTCTCAGCCTCTCCTCTTGGTACAGTTGTCCTAATCCTTAATAATTTTCATGGATTTGCTTCTGTACTAAGGAGACCAGAACTGGAGACAGCACTCCAGATGTGCCTCTCCAGTGCTGAGATATGGGGAAGGATTCCCCTCCCTCCTGAACAGAAAAATTTCCACTTAAAGAAAAAAAAAAAAAAAAAAAAAAGAAGAAAAAACCTTTAACTGAAGAACCTTCTGTCCACTCTAAACAAAACTCCTTTTTGCAAGATTTAGTCCCCACTTCACAGTTTGGAACAGCAGCAAAATCAGAGCTACCCTCTGTGGATATGTGAGCTGTCCTTTTATGGACAAGAAATGTGTTTTCTCCATTCTTAGTTTGTCACAGTATGAGTTCACCTAAATCTAGACTGTTGCTTGCAGCAATGTTTTGCTTTTGGTGGGGTGGGGTGGGGGGGAATCAAAGATGTTCAGTTACCATACAATTACTGTCATACCTGAATAAATACTAACTTAATGTAGATGGATCTCAGAGCTCAGACCTTTCTGGATAAAAAATTGCTGTGCAATTTCGCCGTCCCTCAGCATCGGATTTGCTTTTAAAAGCAGTAAAAATATTATTAAACAGATGCCATTGAGCAGATTTCTCATGGCACCCGGAATCCACGCACGGGACAACACAGGAGCCCATAGGGTGGTGAGCAAAGCCCTGCCAAGGCTCAGCTCAAAAGCCAGAAACATTATTCATGCCAACATGCAGCTGCATGCAATCCCTGCTCTGCTCAGTCTCAAAACGAAGTGGCACTAGCAAAACACACAAGTTGGAGCAGGTGATGAGGGGGGAAATGTAAGGCTGGAGTTCCTGCAGGCTCTCTTTAATGTCATGCTGCTCACAGAAAGGAAGGGCTGGGGACCTGAGATCTGGAGAAGCTAAAATGAGCTGGTTTTCTTCTCCATTTCTCCATTAATGAGAAAAATATTGAAATGTATTTTCCTGAACTTCATGTGAAATGTCTTATGGATTTGGTGGGAAAGATGTTAACTTTGAAATTCAAATTATAGTTTGATTTATGCTCCACAGATTATTTGCTGTAAAAGGAAAAAGGTTTCAGAACAAATCTTTATGTTTTTCTGGGTGCAAAACTTTGACAGAAAACACAAAGATTGGTGAGATTACAGTTTTCAGAGAATTCCTCCAACCTTGCAGTTTTAAAGTGCTGTTCAAAAAGTTCCAGTCCATGACTAAAAATTGTCAGGCTGTCCATGAAGTCCAGCACCTTAGAGTATGTCAAAAGCACTATTCTAGATAGGAGAAATGAGTGTACTTGGAAAACTGCAGCTGGTTTATGGCCTTGGCTGTAATATGGTTATCAGGCACATTAAAAGTATATTTGTTTGCAGGTCTGGGGAGTATTGCATTTGATGAATGGCTCTTTGCCCAAAATGGAACATCATGCCTGTCTGAACTGCAGATAATTTGATATTTATTTGGCATGGGTGTTGTTAAATCTGTAAAAAGGAAAGGAAAATGTAAAACATTAAAATGTTTATCTTTTCATATTTTCAAAGCAAGTAATTCTGGTGTTTCTGGCCCTGCCTCTAGAAGTTCCACAATGCAATTCACAAAGCAGAACAAGTGCTTACTCAGTGCTGCCCAGTGAGTAAATTATCTGTTGAGGGGACTTAGATTGCAGACATGATTTCAGCATATGTGTTCTGTCTGAGAGAATACTGACTCAAATTCCAGGTTCCTGGGGGGCACAGGATTCTGTGGACCTCAGCAGAATCTACTTCAGCATAAGCAGCTTTTTCTTTGGCTTTTTGGAGAATGTTATAAAAATCTCCCAGCAATTCAATCCTTCACATGATTTTTTTCTGCCTTTTGTTGGGTTGGGGATCCTTTTTTTTTTTTTTTTTTTTTTTTTTTTTTTTTTTTTTTTTTTTTTTTTTTTTTTTTTTTTTTTTTTTTTTTTTTTTTTTTTTTTTCATATTATTTATTTCAAGTGGAAAGATTTTGCCCAAGCTAAATTATTTGTGATGCTAGTGCGATATTTTTGTTGTTCTTCATGGTTCTTGTAATTTTCCACATGTAAATTCCTGACAAAAGTTCATTTTGGCTGTGTTTGTGGCTGGTTTAGACTAAGCAAATTTGACTTGGAGATTGCTGACATTTGTGGCTCAGAGGGGAAAAGCAAAGAGTACAGAAAAAAAAAGCTCATGCATTGAAAATCTGATTGATCTCCCAACTGTTGCTTAGCTTTACCCTATTTCAATGATTTGTATTGCTGCCTATCAATGCAGTTTTAGCAGGGTATTAATTCTGTCTGAGCTAGGTGGCTCAGGGAAGCTCTACATTTAGGAGAAGTAAATAAGCTTACCTCTTCCTTCCATTGATAAATTCAATCCTTAATAAACTCTGGCAAACCATTTGCTGCTCTTTTCAGACTCACCACTTTATGTAGTAGTGAAAAATTTAGTTTAGTTTTGTTTGTGGTGATTTAAAAGATATGTGTATAGCTTTATCCTAGTCAGTATCAGACCATTCCACACAGGGAAAGAATGAAACATCATTTTAAATGTTCTGCAGAAAGCATGAAATCCTAGCACTGTGAGAGACTGCCCAAGTATTTACTTGTAAGTCACTGCTAAGAGGAACTGGAATAGAAGGAAAACTGACTGGTGAGTTTTACATTCAGCATTGTAATACCCCACATGATTTATGTAAGCCAGCTTGAACTGTTTGGCACTTTCTACAAAAATTTAGGAGCAGCTTCTGTTCTTTAGACCAAGCAACTAATGATCCTTTGTGGTGGCTGACAGCTTTTCCAGGCTTTTAACAAAGAAGAAAGTGTAATTATTGTCACTGTTTGCTGAACAAGTCATGGATTGCCCTGTTGATTCCCTCTTCCTAATGACTATGTTGGAAAGAAATGCAGCCCTCTTCCTCTGTGCTTTGGGGGACATGGGGAAGGCATAGAACAAGAAAAGAATTCGGAATGTTGAAAAAGGTGGGACATAACTGTGTCTGAAAATTTGCAGTGTTCCAGGATAGTAATCGACTGCTTGTACAAGATGGATTTACGAAGGTAGGTTGCTGCAGAGTGCTGAATGTCCCTGCAGACACTCTCCTGAATGCTTTCACTTCTCAGGATACAGAAATTCCAACACAGACAGATTGAAGTTAAAGCTTTCACAAGAGCCCTCTAAGAAGCTGAAGAATTCAGAGAGAAAATCAAGTGATGGCAGCCTGAGTTGCTAACCCTCCCATCCTGTGGGGCAGCCAAACTGCAAGTTAGCGTGAGGGGATTTGAAACAAATCCATTCCTGTGGCACACTGGCAGGGGAGTGCACCTGAGGGTGAGCCCACCAAGGTTTCTTCATCTCTGCAGCAGCTCAGAGGTGTTTTCATTAATTTACTCGAGGCCATTTATCAGAGAGATGCCACATATGAGCACTGAGCCCCAGTAGCCTCCAGTGAATGGTATATACGTGATTTCTTATGGAAATGGAGTTCACCCCACAGAGTCATTGGCATTTCCTCTTCAAATGACTGGCTGAGCAAAGCACAGCAGGACAGCTGTGCACCTGAGCATGTAAAACTCCTCTGCACTTGGAAGCGACCCACAACATTGTGGGGGTGACCACGACGCTGTTGGTCCCTGGGGAAAGCTTTCCCAACTGGTGACATCTTCCTGAGGGCCAGTTTTGTGAGAACACCTCTGCTGCAAGGAGCAGTCTGTGCTCTGAGCTGTCAAATGAGCTGTGTGGAGTCACACAGGTGATTGCAATTGCAGGTCTGTGTCTACATTTGATCCTTCCACAGAAATATCTGTATTTTTTGGAGATGAAGAAGAGGCTGCTGGACATATACCTGCCTGATTCCATGAGAAATGTCAGGAGCAGTTGCTCTGTGCTTACCTAGATCTTTGGATTGGCTGCTGCTTCTCACAGCTTGTGCACAGTGAATTCTTGTGAGGTT